GTCAGGGGGCGAGTCGGCCAGGAGGCGAGTTGGTAAGAGGCGAGTCGGTCAGGGGGCAAGTTTACGAGGGGGCGAGTTGGAAAGAGGCGAGTCGGTCAGGGGGCGAGTTGACCTGACACCGTCCGAAAAATTCCAAGTAGGGGCCTATTTTCGAAGTAAGCCTAAATGCGTATATATTTTTCCCAGCTAAAATTTACTGAAGGACAAGCAGACCTTCCAATTATTATGATTTAGCCGTATTTCCTACCATGCCTACGGGAAATTCTTGAAAATATGATCGTACGTTTTCTCCCCCATAAGATACGGGTTTCGACCATTTTGACACACCTGAAAAAAAATTGTAGTTCAACAGTTGAGAGTCTACATGCACATTAAGCTAGAATTAGAAAGATATAGCTGCTAATGTACATGAATATGTACATATACATGTATATATACAGAGGGTATATGCGTTTGCACATGTACATGTACAGGGTATGCACGCACGTGTACAAACCTTGTGTGTAAACAGCATCTGACAACCATCCGATCACTGTTGTGATTGGCTGCCTATTAAATATCAATATTCATGTATGCATTAGTGGGACTCTTTAATTTCCGCTTCCGTTAGTTGAAGTAGTAGCAAACAATCTGCAGTATTTTATGTTGCACAAATTTCACAGCCACCGCATACATATGTGGCTTGAAATAAGGTTTGTAAATTTTCCACTTTTGCCGATAGATACATGTACATGTACTTGTAGAGGGCTTCAGGTCAACTGGTGCGGGGCAAAGAAACTGTCATACATTATTACATGGTTTTTACATGTTCTTTGTGCATCTTTTTTTACAAGATTTCAAACAATTTTTGGACATAGACTCGTCAACATGTCAGCGCAACACCTGTGTATGAATTGTCTAAAGAGGGTCCAATTTGGATGCAATCTTTGACAAGACCGATCCTCAAGTTAAAAATCTACAGAAATAAGGATGCATGGACACATTTTATGGCTGGCCAGTGAGCAGGGACATGGTCAAATCAGATGGGAATACAGCCATTTCACTTTTCAACCTCGATAATGAATTTCTTGTGCCGAAGTGTTAGCATGGGATTTTTTTTGTGTGTAATAATTTCTGAAGAGTAAAGATATGATACATGTACATAAAAACCATGTATTCTGATACGTGTTCATGTTCCAAATGGGTAGGTTCATGTAATTTTATCAATTTTTTTGCTTTGTTAAAAGGATCACAAATGTTTGTGCAGTTAACATGGTTAATAATGTTTGGTGATGTCACATGTACCAGTGCATATGTTCTTTGGATTAAACTTATTCCTGGTTTCTTTGAATTTCCTGTTGATATCAGGAGAACTGGTACATGTACCGGTACATGTTTTTTGCAAATCCCATTGCTTGTTTACAATGAAACATGATGTGACACACACCTGGTCGAAGTGACAGGTCTTTTCAAAATACATGTACATGTATGTACTTGTAATTTATAATCCATCAACAAAACTCTTTAAAAGCTTCAAAACGAATTTTTTAAGAGATTAAAAGAATTACAAAAACTCAGATCTGAGCATTTTTCGCTAGAATTTGTACACTGGGCTGGTACTACATGTATTTCGAGGCCTGCATACATGTATGTATGTATTTGTACGTCACTGCTTCTTTTATAACCATTTTTTGTCATGCAGCATCACATGGAAATGATACTTGCAAGTTGTTTTTCTCGTCAGTTGCTCAGGATTTCAGCCAAAGTTTGGAAACATTAACCGTTTGCTTCCAGTGGCATCTGACATCCGGAACACTGAATGCAATCAACTGATTCTACAAAATAAGACGTAGGAGGGGGTGCCGGGGTGGAAGAGTGACCACATACATGAATATGTACTTTTTAGGTTGACTACGAAGGTTGTTTCATCTTTTTCATTTCGCTTGGCATGGTGGCACTTAACATTGACCCAATAGTGCCCTTACCCATTGTGTGGGTTTCGTCAGACTCCTTGGCTTCCAACACTGTCTGTATATTTATCAATGGAGGAGGGTCATAAAAACCACAGTGTTATCCCATAGGGGTCTGTTGAACCATCACAGGAGATGTCCTTGGCAGTTAGCACTGTGGACTTGCCGTGCCCTTTGCAATTGACTCAGATATGGAGATGACACCATCACGAGGCCATCCAGTGCATTATGACGGGGAGATAATAAGAGAATATGGGTTGATGCTAGCAGTGCAATGAATAACTTCCTTCCTGCCTTCTGTCATGCAGAGCAAAAAGAAAAAAAACCAACTTACATGTACATGTACGTGTACATTTTTTTGTCTTGAGCATGTACATGTACAGTGTACATACTGCATGGGTGGTATGGCATGCACTTCATGTACGCGTAGGGTATACACGCATACTTACATGTGGTGCATATATGTACATGTAGTTGGACAGTATGCAAATTAAACATGATACCGGTATACTTGGAGACATCACAGTCCCATGCTGTGTGCGTGTACCTGTAGTTAACGAAACTGGTTTGAAAGGAAACTTTTCCAGCAGGAGATCAATTAGAACAGTGGGTTTTTATTGATTCTTATTTCGCATAGATTTATTTATTTAAAATATAAAAACCTACGTTTATGCATGTGTGAACATTTTCAAGGGATGAACTCAACCTTAAAAACAACCTTTCAAGAAATTCCGTTATTTTTCATAGTTAAACAATGTGCAGTGGAGTGTGTACCAATATTTGTGCTGGCTGTTTTTGGCGAGCTGCAAAGCAAGTGTGAGCCTACATGTATGTAATATGGATTTCCGTCTTCTGTCTGTCCGGCCTTCCCCAAATTATGTTAAAGTTATTCCTTGCAGCTCCATAGGTGTTAAAATGTGCCGCTGGGTGCTTGTTTGCTTCGTCTTGGAATTCCATGAGTGTTTAAATAGTCTTATATGGCATTAATGCTTGGAAACTTATGAATTTAATGAAAAAAAATTATGAAAGTTGAATGTTAATGTTTTGAGTTGGATTGTGTACTTAACCCTGTAGTACATACATACATGTACCGGTACATTTACATTGTATGTACTGAGCACTCCTATAATGTACGGTACTTGCATATAGGCAGTGTTGAGACACATACAAACGTACTCGTACAGTATGTGGGAAAATTGTAAGGAGGGGACTCCAAGTGACAGATTAGGATGTTTGTTGGGGGAGGGGTACATGTACTGTACCTCTAGGAGGAGGATCATGGGGACAAGGTACCTGTATGTAGAAAGTGGATGAAATGCTGGATAAGGTTGGCGTAATGGCTGGGCTGGATTAGTGGGATGATGGGACAGCCAGAGTAAGAAGTGAAGGGAATGATGGGGAGGGGGCAGAGTAGGAGATGGAT